GTTACCCGCCCCCCGTTTAACTGCTAGCCTTGCCTGGTGGGTTTATTCTATAGGGATTCATTTGTTTTCTTCATTGTCTTTTCTTAGAATATCCTTTAGAACTTTAGTCTTGACTATTATATGCCTTGTTGTAGTTTCTTTCTGATCATGGTTAATTGGAGTTCTATATATTTCACTTATCTGTATGTGAAATTTTTTTCCATACTTAGGAAGTTTTCTGCTATTACTTCTGCCATCAGGTTTTTTATGTCCTTTGTGCTATCTTCTGATTTTTCATTAATTTTCATTAATCTTAATGTTATTATTCTTTGATTTATCTAGCAGCTGCTGGATTGATTTTTTTCCTGATCTCTTGCTTTTTTGGCGGGGGGGTACTGGGGATCGAACTCAGGACCTTGTGTTTTCGAGGCAGGCAGCAGAACCACTGAGCTAAATCCTCTGCCCTGTCCTTTGCTGTTTTTAAGAAGTCTTTCATGTGATGATCACCAACCACAAACCTGTCTTCTAGTTCTGATATTCTATATTCACATTGGATGATTCTGCTGCATATACTTTCAATAGAATTTTTAATTAATATCTATTTGAATCTGTTTCATGGAATCCCTTTCTTTCCTATGTTTAGCGTTGGTGGGGTCCATCACTTCCTTAACCTCCTCTATTTTTTTTTAATCTGTATATACTCTAGATTTACTAACCATGATCTTCATTATGGTCATAATCTCTTTAGTTATCTGTGTAATTTTTTTTCAGATTTTTTTCCCTAGAAGAAATTTCTCTACTTTTTTACTTCTACTGCTACCATTTCAGAAAGTTCAGCTGGGTGGCTTTTGATTTCTTCCACCTCACTGCCCCCTGGGTTTGCCTTGGGTGAGCTTGAGATCTGGGGTTGGATTTTGCTTCTGTCTCTTCTTATTTTCTATTTTTTTATGAATTTGATTTCTGCATTGGTGCTTATAAATTGCTTATGGTAGGTAGCTTTGTCACTAGTATTCAGCCTCTTTAGGAAATGAGTGCTTTTCAGAGATGTCTTCTAGGCATAGCTGGCTTTTGCATTTTGAGTCTGTCCCAAGATCCTGTCTCTTCAATTATTAGGGATGAGAGGTTGCTACCTGTGTGGCCTAGCACCCAGTTCTAAAGAAAATAGTCCTGGACCATGAGACAGTCTCAGTATTGGCATACAAGGAAGAACAACTGATCACAATTATGTCATGTTGACTAAAGTAGTACAATCAGTAATAACAATAACATCAACCACAGTCTAAAAAATGACAAACTGTGGTAATTGTTAATTTTCTCCCTGTTACTATAAGTAAAAGATTTACAGTTATATAACAAAATCTGAAACAAATCAGAAAATTATATACAATAAATATGCCCTCAGTAAAGCAATTTTACCCTCAGGAGAGGAAAATACAAGGGATAAGAGGAAAAAATAGAGAAATAAAAGAAGAGAAAGAGAAAGAGATTAGAAACAAGGCTAAGACAAAGGAAGATTATCCAAGCTTTGGGAAACTGGTGAAGTAGACAAGAGAGAAAGAAAAAAGGAAAAAACAAAAAGAAAAGCAAAATTCAAGAAAAAAACTAAAAACAATGTTCACAGGTGAAAAAACAATCAAGAAAGAAAAAGCAAATGGACCAAAAAACATATAGATGAAGAGAGAAGAGAGATTTCTCTGTAATTTCAAGCCTGTAGTTATTTTCTGATGTCTCCAGTTTTTGCGGTAGTTTCCATTGCAGGGAGTGACTCTTCTGTCACTAGTAAACAAAGAAGGTTGAGAACCCATATCCATGTTGGATGATCCCAGCAAGCCTGCAGTAGGATTAGTGCAGAGTGCTAATTCTGGTGCTTTCAATGCCACACATGTTCTGGTGTTGGCCTCTGGTTGTGGCATTGAGCCTGAGTTGTTTATCCTACAACACTGGGTGTTTCTTGCTGGGCTGACCAAGGCTCCCTGACCCTGGATGTCTCCCTCAGTTGTCCCTCACCCAGTCACTGTGGGATGTGAACACTGGGAGCTCTGAGATGAAGCCAATCTATGGCTGCTCTGAGTCCCGGGTTCAGTTGTCCCCTCCCTAAAATGACTTACAGCCAAGCACCCTCTGCAGGGGATACAGCAGTTGTCTGAACTGGAGTCACTCACCAGCTGTTGTAGTGCACAATATCCACTTCTATATTCCACTGGTTTGTTTCTCCCTAGAGGCCTCTGGAGTCACCTGGCTTCACTGTGTCTCTAGATTTGAGCTGTCTCTCTCACATCACTAGCTGAGAGCCCAGAGAAAGTGCAGTTTGTCCCTCCTTTTTCTTCATTGTGGTCTGTCTCTTCACTTTCTCTGTGGGCTCCGGTTTTCCCTTCAGATCTTTCCTGGGTCCTGGGGATCCACCTTCCTCCTTTTTTCCCCCAATTTATTATTTTCCAGTGTCTAATGGTTGAAGTTTTAGAATGTTCTGTAAAATTCCACTCTAGATCTGTGATACCACCACTCTGGATTGCTGAGGCAGAAAGATGTCAAGGTCATATCCAGCTTGGGCAACTTAGCAAGAGCAGTTTGTAAAGATTTCAGTCCATATCCAGACCAGATGGCATCACAGAGGTGAAGCTGCTCATGTTATGGTGGTGAAGAAGTAGTTTTGTTAAAAGTACCTTTTTAGTTATAATTTCCTTGTCTCCTTTCTACATTTTATTTCTTTTATACTAACTCAGTTCCATATAGATTTTGGATTTCTTTTTTATTTCTGTGAAAAATGGCCTTGGAATTTTGATGGGGATTGCATTAAATCTGTAGATGGCTTTGGATAACATAGATATTTTCAATAATATTAATTCTTCCAACCCATTAACATAGAATATCTTTCCTCTTATTTATGTCTTCAGTTTCTTTTATCAGTGTTTCAAAGTTTAAAGTGCAGGGATATTTGACCTTTTTAAAAATTCTTTTTAGGTAGTTATTAGTGCACAGAAGCACTACTGATTTTTTTTTTTCCTGAACTGGGGATTTAACCCAGTCTCTTTGCACTGAGCTACATCTCCAGCCCTTTAAAAAAAATTTTTTTTTTTGAGACAGGCTCTTGCCAAGTCACCAAGTGACAAGGGTTAGGCTGAAACTTGTGATCATCTAGAGTGCTGTGCTTACAGGTGCACCACTATGCCTGCCTGCTACTGATTTTTGTTTTTTATGTTTTCTAAACTTTGCTGAATCTGTTAATTAGTTCTGACATGTTTTGTAGAGTTTTTACAGATTTTTATATATAATTATATCATCAGTATATAATGAATTTCACTTATTTTTTTTTACTGTAAATGTCTTTTATTTCTCTTGCTCAATTACTCTATTAAGACTTCTAGTACTAACTATATTGAATAGAAGTCATGAGAGTGGGCCACTATTTTTGATATTGCTTTCTATCTGCATATATGACAGCAATGGATTTTACCATTAGTGTGTATCTTTCATAAGATACACTGTAGAAAAGAGTGAGCACATATGTACTAAGCTCTCAGCAAGTGAGAACTAGCAAGTATGTCATACAGTGTGTTCCTCACTCAGTCTGAGTGGAATCCAACCACCCCATGCCACTCTCATACTATATGGTAGCCTTTATCTCATGTTCTGGTGGCTAGTTTTGACCTGTGATGGCCAACAGTAGATGAGTTGGGAGTGCTGAAAATGTACCAAAGACAAATATTGTTCTGGATGCCAAGTACTTATTTAACATGACTTAAGGTGAGCAAGTGCAATAAAAAAAAATATAGGACAAGGCAATAAAAAGAGAGATCTGAAGGAAAATAGGGCAGTCAAAGGCATATGAAAGACATCATATTTATTTCTGCAGCTGGGGGGAAATATCAATATCTGTGTGAAGCAGAGCCGGAAGGAACCTTGGCTAGAGCCATGTCAGGGCCTCAGAACCTCAGCATCCAAAGAGAAGGGAAACCGAGAGATCATCTGTGCTCCCTGGGGCAGGCAAGGTTTCTCAACCTTTTATCATTCTCACTCACCTAAAAAGCTTTTAAAGGTATTTCCCCCCTCAAATTGCTCTATTCACTATGAAGTTTTAATACCTGATTATCTGTTTGTAAACTAAGTCTTGATTTTTACATAAAAGTATATTTTTGCTCCCAAGAACAAATTTTTGCTTCCTTTTGCTATTGCTCCTGTTGAGAAAATCTGAATTACACCACAATGAGTGTAATTATCTTTTAGGGCTTTTGCCTTCAGACCCCCAAATCAAAGCAAAATAACCACCCTCCCCAAATGAAAACAAATTTCAACCCAAAATCAAAAGAACTTTTTGGTAAACTGTCATATACTTGCTTACAAATTTCACATTTTACTCTTCTGAGAAGGCTCAGGAGATAATATGGGTAATAACAATCATGTCACACAAGTGCTTTTTATTTAGCCTAGTTTGTCTCAGTTTAGAGACTAATACAAATGCTAGAAATACAGAGCTCTCATTATGCAACGCATAGACGTGCATTTTTTTTTAAGTTTGTGAAATACATTTTCAGTGTGTGATAAAGTAATTTGTTATTTCAGCCACTTTCCTAGCAAGGCCTCATTATTAGTTCCATCATTATTCTTATTGTGTTGATCAGAAGGCTGAAGGAGAGAGAGACTGAATATAACAGTGTATGAAATATTTGTCACTTAAACAATGTGCACAAGTTAAGTAATTTGAACATTGCTTTGAAGGAAGTCTGGCCTAGACATGCTAGAGCTAAAGAATCTGAGCGTGTTCTTTAAGGGATATGATGCTATTTTAGCCTTACAAAAATCCATTTTACCAGTGGAAAATAATTCCTTGAGATTGAAGAAAAATGTGGAGACATATTATAAAGGTGATCCGAAGGGGTATTTGAAAAAACCTGGCTACATTTTGATTTGGTTGCATGCTTTTTGTAGACTAACTGAACTAGTTACTTACTGCTGTGTAAAAAGTTGTCCAACTTTGCAGCTTAACAATACACATTTATTTTCTGTCTGTTTTGGTGGTTCAGGAGTCTGGGTTCAGCTTACTTGGGTCTACTTTAAAGTCTCACAAGAACATAATCAAGGTTTTGGCTGGTGCTGCAAACTCATCTGAAGGCTCGATGGGAAAATTCCACTCCAGATTCACTTGTTTCTGGTAGGATTCATGTGGCTTTCTATATGTTTTTTTTTTTCCACATTGCTTCTGTATAAGAGCATCAGGCAACATGGAAGTGAGTGAGTGGGAGGGTAAGAGAATGTTAGTAAGGTGAAATGTCACAATGTTTTTGGAATCTAATCACAGAAGTGACATCTCTTTAATTTTTAGTATTGTGTTTGTTAAAAACAAGTCACAGATGCAGCCACCACGCAATGAAAGTTTATGCAAGGACATGAATACTAGGGGGTAGGTACCACTAGGAGCCATGTCAGAAGCTGCCTGCCATACTGACCTAAGCCAATTTGTACAAGTTGTATGCACAGCTGTTAAGTTCTTCTTGGTACATATGGAGAATTAATGATAATTAGAGCTTGGTGAGGGTCAGCTACATCGCGAAACGTCATTTTTTATTTATTAAAAATTTCTGCAGCACACCTACACATTCATTAATTATTTTATTTATAAGTAGACAAAATTGTCGACCTGTTCTATAAGTTAAATTACTCCTCCATCCTTTTGGGTGCTCTGACTGTGAATTGCAAGAACATTTCATTGAAGGCAGAGCAGACCATATTCTAGAGGCAGGATTCAGCTGATTCACAGGTAGCATCTGCATTTTCTGAACAATTAGCCAATCTGGATGGACTATTTAGGTCTGAAGTATGGGTGCCATCCCTAAAGTTGAAGGATGAAGGGCTTTTTTGGTAGAGACACTCTTTGGAAACATGGACACATCTCTTATGTCCCATTCATTGCATTAACGAGAGTCCATTTCTGGTATCTATTATGTATTGTGTAATATCTATTAATAAATAAGCCACGAATTTCACCAGTGAAAATTCACAATTTTAACATTCATTGCTCTAATTAGCAAAGCCTTTGGTGTCTTTCAAAGATAAAGATAACTGAAATTGTTGGAGAGAAAGGTGGCTGATTAGAATGCTTGCAGACAACCTGGGTGTGAAACCCACAATAGGACAATTGACTGTACCTGGTGTATGACTTGAACTGACACACATCCTAATATTATATTGCCTTTGCTAAAACAAAAGCAAATAATAGAAATCCTAACAACTATTTATCAAATACCAAGGCAAAGTTTTCCTTTGGGTAATGCTGACTCTTAGTATTTCATAACGTAAACTTTATAATAGATATGTATATATGCACAAGCATATTAACAAAAATAGAAGAGAACAATTTTAATTACAATTCTCATTTCTGTAACTGGCCATGTGGTTATAGCTGGTATTTGTAACTACCTTCTTCTACAACTTCTTCCTGTAATGAAAGCATATTATATTGTGCCTTTCAAAAGATTATTCACTGTGAAACATGGTCTTAGCTGTATGTTTAACAGAGATTGAATGTGAAGCTTTAGAGAAAGGCTTCTTGGTCCCTGATGTGTTTTTCTCACTTCTCAGAAGTTGCACTTCACTTCTCAGACACTTTCACTGTATAAAATGGAATGATCAGGGTTCTATTTCACAGAGCTCTTAAAGGAGTGAGTAGGGTCATATATGTGAAATATATCTGGCACACAGTAAGACATCAATAATTACTAGCATTAAGAGAAGTTCTCTAAGAAATATATTTATAGGGCCGGGGATTTAGCTCAGTGGTTTCGCCACCTGCTGCGCAAGCGCAAGGACCCGAGTTCGATCCCTGGTACCAAAAAAAAAGAAATATATTTATAAATAAATAGCCTTTCAAATGCTTACCTCAACAAAATTTTAGACATACAGCAGTAAAGGGCAAGTTTGTTTTGCTTCATTTAAAAATTATTTTTAATCATTTTCTTAAAAGTATTAAGTATTCATTATGAATTTATGGTTAAAGTACTATGAAAATAAAAAAATGATAATCCTAATACTTGATGTATCCTCATTTAGCATTTTGATGTAGATCTTGCCATTGTCTGTGTTTGTATATATATGTATACATAGTCTTTTTTAAAAAGATCGAAGTTGGAATTATTTATCCCAACTTTTTCATTTATGAGCATACTTTCAACATTTTTTTGTATCATTAGATATTCCTTGAAAACACGACTTGATGTCAGAATAATATCCTATTAGCATAATACCTATTTTTTTGTTACTATTTTTCCACTATTATATAAGTAATATTCAGATAAATCCTTAAATATAGATAATTGAATACACTTCTGGTTGCTTCCTGAGTTAAGACCTTTGATATTTATTACCAAATATCTTTTGAAAATAATTTTTCCAATTTCAGCATGTACCACTTGTTGGCCCTGGGTATCATCACTTATCTTGTTATATGACTTAACCTCTTAGAACTTCCATTTGTCAATTGAAAAGTAAGGCTGATTATTCTCATCTTGCAGAATTATGAAGAAGAAGCAAAATTGTTAGCTCCTGTCTTATTATCTGCTCTGGAGATGATTGAAAGTTACCAATTCTGCCATTATCTAGTTTTTGACCCCAGCTCCCCTCCAGGGCTTTTTATGTTGTGTTATACTGGTCCAGCTGCTCTGCAATGCTCAGTCCTTATTTGTGAATTGAATGTCACATGTACACACATGTCTGGGAAGTCACAACCCTAGAAAGGAGCAGGCATTTCAAAATTCAGCAATTCCAAGACAGAGGAAAAGAGCAAATTCAACAGAATAGATAAAAGTCATGAGTATGACATAAGGACACTGATGTAATAACATGCTGACTACATATTAGAGACTGGTTGTCCATGTGAATTCCTTTAAGATTCTTTATATTACTTGAACTACTTGAAAGAACTGATGAAATGTGTTCTCTCTGCAGTTCCAGAGGGTATATTTCCCAGCTCTAAATTTATCTCTGCCGGTAATACTTTTTAATCCCACTCTTGAGTGCTCAAATAGATTGATTTAGTTGATATTTATTCATTAGATGGCCTGAGAATGTTACCAAGAATTCTAATTTAACAACTTATTTCTAGATTAGTTAAATCATGATAGCTGCTGTCTTCTTACCCTGCTCCCCCCAATCAACTCTGCTCATACTGTTGCCTCCAGAGTTTTAGTCTCATGAAACAGCCTTTGCAAGGAAAACATCTTGGAGAAAATGAGTATTCTGTGAGTGATAACAGTTTTTGTTCCTTCCACTGAGTTTAAATCAATGTCTTTACCTTGACTCTGAGGCCTAAGAATCCAAAATCCCTCGATGCCTCATTTGAATTCATCCGGGTTGTAATAGACTTTGCTCAGTGGTAAAGCTTTTGGGAATCCCTTAAATCATCCAGCTGAAATTCTGGGACGTGCTTTCTATGAAACAAGATGAAGGCTGGGAAGTTAAGCTCTGGCCTGAATTGACAGAAAGTGATTTCCTGAACTCTAGATGTGTTGGTGTCATTGTGTGTGTGGTGATGGGAGAAAGTGTGTGGTGAGGAAAAAGTTCCTCACCACACCATGCTGTGTGATAAGGAACATGCCAACCCAGCCAGGATTCTGGAATCTGGGCTCTGGCCCTGACTTGAGGGCTTTTTTTTTTTTTTTTGGTACTGGGGATTGAACTCGGGTCCTTGTGCTTGCGCAGTAGGTGGCAAAACCACTGAGCCAAATCCCCGGCTACTTGAGAGCTTTTTAAAGGCAAGGTTGCTTGTTTTATTTGCTTTAAACTTTGCTGTCATTTTCCATAAAATCAAGTTGGACTAGGTAAATCATTTTCAACTCTGAAATTGAATGATTTTTTTTTTATCCTCTCTTCCTTTTACCTAATCTCTAAATACCAAGACTTTGTTTGGCTCTTAGCCTGCCCAGAAATAGATGTGTTGATTTAGTTTTAATCCATGCCTTCTATAAATGCATTGTTCTGGAAGCTATGGGGAAGACCAGATAAAATAATAACAGCAGCTATAATTTAATGAGTGTTCACAGTAAGCCAAACACTCTATGGTGTTTTAAACATTTAGTCTTCTCAGTAACCTTCCAAAAGAAAGACTGCTGTTCCCCCTTTTCCATTTTACAGATAAGGAAATGGAGGCACACAAAGGTTAAATTACTCACACAAAGTCATTAGCCAAGTAGTGGCAAAACGAATTTGAATCCAGGTGATCCTATCTCAGAGCACACTCCTGACAGCTATTCCTTTGACTCTCTGCTGTGAAGGACAGATTCCTGTCCCTCAAAGAGCTTAGATAAAGAGACAAGACAAATAACCAACCTGTGTCCATCACCACTGGATGTATACATGACCTTGAAGTAGACACTTGTTAGACTGTAGAGAAAGTGTCCTCTTCGTAATGGTTCTTGTCATGCTTGCTTTTCTAATTGCTCTTCTACTCTCATTACCAACCAGGTATCCAGAGATTTGAGAACTGTGTTCTCCCCACCATGATAGATGGAATTTGCAGCCAATATATTAGTTTTCCAAGCCTGTTCTATCACTGTTAAATTCAAAGACAATGGAAAAAAAAAAAAAGGAATTTGTAGCCACTATAAATCTTCACCTATCTTGTATAAAACCTAAGGCAGGCACAGAATTGAAAGCTGAAATAGTTCTGGCCAAGCTGCATTGAAATACCAAAAAATAAAAATTAAAAAAAGAGGGCTGTTTGCACATTGTGTGAACCAAGTACATTTGAAATAAAAATCTGTTGTGGATCAAAAACATTACTTGGGCTTGGAATTTAGCCTGACTCTTTGTGCTAATTTAAGTCTCTTAGTTTGATCAAAAAGACCAGGAAAATGTCATTCAGTTGTCTCTGCTCAGAGCTTAATACAAAATTCAGGATAGAGCTACTTGAACTGGAAAGGTAGTTTCATTTCTCAATGGTACATCCAGTAGTCAAACTGCAGTTGTTTGCTTAAGCCTTGCTGTATACTAATTAAAAGCTCCTTCAGCTCTCTAAGGTGTCTTGATGTCCCTTTTGGTAATTTTTCCTTCTTTTGCCTATGCTGACTTCCCACTGTGTGGTAGAACTTCATCTTTTGCTGATGGATGTTGTGTGTGTGTGTGTGTGTGTGTGTGTGTGTGTGTGTATGGGGGGGTGTG